CTGTATATCTCCCGATGATACACAGCTGTACATCTCCTGATGATACACAGCTGTACATCTCCATGTCTCTGTTGATACACAGCTGTACATCTCCTGATGATACACAGCTGTACATCTCCATGTCTCTGTTGATACACAGCTGTACATCTCCTGATGATACACAGCTGTACATCTCCTGATGATACACAGCTGTACGTCTCCTGATGATACACAGCTGTACATCTCCATGTCTCTGATGATACACAGCTGTACATCTGATGATACACAGCTGTACATCTCCTGATGATACACAGCTGTACATCTCCATGTCTCCTGATGACACACAGCTGTACATCTCCATGTCTCCTGATGATACACAGCTGTACATCTCCATGTCTCCTGATGATACACAGCTGTACATCTCCTGATGATACACAGCTGTACGTCTCCTGATGATACACAGCTGTACGTCTCCTGATGAGACACAGCTGTACATCTCCATGTCTCCTGATGACACACAGCTGTACAACTCCATGTCTCCTGGTGATACACAGCTGTACGTCTCCTGATGATACACAGCTGTACATCTCCTGATGATACACAGCTGTACATCTCCATGTCTCCTGATGATACACAGCTGTACATCTTAATGTCTCTGATGATACACAGCTGTACATCTCCATGTCTCTGATGTCACACAGCTGTACATCTCCATGTCTCCTGATGATAGACAGCTTTACATCTCCTGATGATACACAGCTGTACATCTCCATGTCTCTGATGACACACAGCTGTACATCTCCATGTCTCTGATGATACACAGCTGTACATCTTAATGTCTCTGATGATACACAGCTGTACGTCTCCTGATGATACACAGCTGTACATCTCCATGTCTCTGATGATACACAGCTGTATATCTCCCGATGATACACAGCTGTACATCTCCTGATGATACACAGCTGTACATCTCCATGTCTCTGTTGATACACAGCTGTACATCTCCTGATGATACACAGCTGTACATCTCCATGTCTCTGTTGATACACAGCTGTACATCTCCTGATGATACACAGCTGTACATCTCCTGATGATACACAGCTGTACGTCTCCTGATGATACACAGCTGTGCGTCTCCTGATGATACACAGCTGTACATCTCCATGTCTCTGATGATACACAGCTGTACATCTGATGATACACAGCTGTACATCTCCTGATGATACACAGCTGTACATCTCCATGTCTCTGATGACACCAGGCCAATGGATGCTCTTTTTAACTGCATTTTAGACCTGAAATCCTGGATGGCAGAAAACTTTCTCCAGCTCAACCAGGACAAAGCTGAGGTTTTAGTCATCGGTCCTGAGGCCCAGAGAGAGAAACTTTTATCAAAACTCCAATCACACTCTTTTAATCCATCATCACAAGTGAAAAACCTGGGCGTAATTTTTGACTCTGAGCTGACTTTTATTCCTCACATCAAGAACATCACAAAAATAGGTTTTTATCATTTAAAGAACATCGCCAGAGTCCGCCCCATTCTCTCTCGGGCCAACACGGAGACGCTGATGCTTTTATCACCAGTCGCATTGACTACTGTAATGCCCTGCTCTCTGGTCTTCCCAAAAAGAACATTTCAGGCTTACAATTACTCCAAAACTCGGCCGCACGTGTCCTGACTAAGACCAGGGGGCGTGTCCTGACTAAGACCAGGGGGCGTGTCCTGACTAAGACCAGGGGGCGTGTCCTGACTAAGACCAGGGGGCGGGACCACATTACACCGGTTTTAAAATCGCTGCATTGGCTCCCCGTGTGTTTCAGGATCAATTTTAAGGTTCTTTTAATGATTTTGAAATGTCTTAATGGTCTTGGGCCTTCTTATCTTTCAGATTTGCTTTTATCCTATGAACCTTCCCGGCCCCTGCGCTCCTCCGGCAGCAGACTCCTAACCATCCCCAAAGTCAGGACACACACTCACGGCGAGGCATCTTTCCAGCACTACGGCCCCCGTCTCTGGAACAGTCTGAGGAGGAGCTCAGGGCCGCAGAGAACGTTCATATTTTTAAAGCAGGCTCAAGACGCACCTTTTTAGATTAGCTTTTGATTAGTTTTTACTATTTATCTTTATATATTCTATTTATCTTCTACTATTTATTATACTGCTTTTATTCATGTATTGTGTGATCGTTCCTTTTAGTTTAACATTTTAGTGTTTTACTTGTTATTGTATTGTTATTGTATTGTTTTTAGTGTACCCAGTGTTTCCTCTGGAGGAGCCCTCTGCACTGGGAGCAGTGGTCGGTGTGGCTGTGGGGGTCGGACTCTTGGGCCTGGTGGGGGCCTGGGGCCTCGGTTTCATGTCTCCTCTGGGTCCTGTGTCGTCCCCTGTGGCTACGGGCGGCTCTCTGCTCCTGGTGCAAGGCAAGGCAAGGCAAGGCAAGTTTATTTATATAGCACAATTCATACACAAGGCAATTCAAAGTGCTGAACAACACAAGAAAGCATTAAAATCATAAATTATCACAGAACATTAAAAAGAAAGATAAAAATATAAAATCCCTCAGTTGTATGCACAGCTAAACAGCACAGTTTTTAACTTGGTTTTAAACATAGTCAGAGAGGAGGCCTGTCTCACATCTTCAGGAAGACTGTTCCAGATTTTAGCAGCATGAATCTGAAAAGCAGCCTCCCCATGTTTAGTTCTGACTCTGGACACTAACAGGAGTCCAGTCCCTGTGCTCCTCAGAGTCCGGGCTGGTTCATATGGGACTAACATGTCACTAATATATTTTGGTGCGAGGCCATGGAGAGACTTGTACAAAGCAGAGCTGTTTTAAAGTCTATTCTCTGAGCCACAAGAAGCCAGTGCAGAGACCTGAGGACTGGACTAATGTGGTCGTACTTCCTGGTTCTTGTCAGGACTCGAGCTGCTGCATTTTGAATGTACTGCAGCTGTTTTACCGTGGGCGGCACGGTGGCTGAGTGAATAGCACTCTCGCCTCTCAGCAAGGAGGTCCTGGGTTCGAATCCCGGCCGGACCAGGGCCTTTCTGAGTGGAGTTTGCATGTTCTCCCCGTGTCTGCGTAGGTTTCCTCCGGGTGCTCCGGTTTCCCCTACCACTAAAAATATGTACAATAGGTATGGCATGTGCCTCCTGTACTGGCGACCCCACTCCCAACAATTGTAAACCGCTTTGAGACTCCGATGTGCAGTGAAAAGGCGGTATATAAATAAAAAGCTTACTTACTTACTTACTTACTTTTACAGCCTGTTTGGACAGACCTGTGAGCAGGCCATTGCAGTAGTCTAACCTACTGGAGACAAATGCATGGATAAGAATCTCCAAGTCTGCTTTAGACACTATGTTTTTGATCCTGGCAATGTTTTTTAGATGGTAAAAAGCTGCTGATGTTACTGATTTGATGTGGCTATTAAAATTTAAGTCTGAGTCCAGTATTACCCCTAGATTTCTGACCTTGATTGAAGGTTTTAGGGAGAGAGACTGTAGGTGACAGATGACGCTCTCTCTTTGTTTCTGGGGACCAAAGACAATCATTTCAGTTTTGTCTGCGTTTAGCTGAAGGAAGTTGTTTTGCATCCACTCACTGATCTGTTGGATACAGTGAAGGAGTGAGTCCACTGGTCCATGTTCTCCTGCAGTCAGTGAGACATAGATCTGAGTGTCGTCTGCATAGTTGTGATAGGAAACTTCGTTTCTGCGTATTAACTGACCTAACGGCAGCATGTAGAGATTGAACAGAAGAGGTCCCAGGATCGACCCCTGTGGGACTCCACAGGTCAGGGCCATATGATCTGAGACACAGTTTCCAATCTCCACAAAGTACTTCCTGTCCTCAAGGTAAGACCCAAACCAACTTAGGGCGGTGCCAGCGACGCCAACCCAGTCCTCTAGTCTCTGTGAGAGGATCTCATGGTCGACAGTGTCAAAGGCAGCACTCAGATCTAACAAGATTAAGATTGAGACTTTGCCTGCGTCAGTGTTCAGCCGGATATCGTTTGTAACCTTAACGAGAGCAGTCTCAGTGCTGTGGTGGGGTCTAAAGCCGGACTGAAACATATCAAATGAGTTGTTGATTATAAGAAATCTAGTAAGCTGTAGGTAGACAACTTTCTCAAGGACTTTCCATAAAAATGGCAGATTTGAGATGGGACGATAGTTGTTAAGTACCGTAGCATCGAGACTGCTCTTTTTTAGCAGGGGCCTGATGACTGCAGTTTTCGAGGGCCTTTGGGAATATTCCAGAATGAAGGGACATGTTTACTATCTGTGTGAGTGAAGGTAACAGACTGCTCAGAACAGACTTTAGAAATCTAGTGGGTAGTACATCCAAGCTGCATGTGGAGGAGCTCAAACTGGAGATTATCTCTTGGACAGTTTTATCATTTACAGGTGCAAAGTGAGTTAGCTCAGAGAGCTAACTCACAGATGGTGCAGATGGCTCCTTGGATGACGCTTTTTCAGCTGGTTGCATCTGAACCCTGCCAAGTCTCTCATCATGGTTTTATTGTTTTACTGGTGTGTGTGTGTGTGTGTGTGTGTGTGTGTGTGTGTGTGTGTGTGTGTGTGTGTGTGTGTGTGTGTGTGTGTGTGTGTGTGTGTGTGTGTGTGTGTGTGTGTGTGTGTGTCAGAGAGTGTGCATGAGAGCGTGTGTGTGTTTGTCTGTGGTTTGGGGTGGGTCTGTTGGGTGGTCAGGGGGAGGGGTCTTATAGGTCGGCGGGATTGTTTTTAACCAAACTGTAAAGCACTTTGTGTTGCATCTTTTGTATGAAAAGCGCTTTATAAATAAAATTTGATTGATTGATTGAAGGACCGTCAGGGTCCATCAGAGACCATCAGAGACCATCAAGGACCATCAAGGACCATCAGGAACCATCAGGGAAACATATGTGGAACTATCTCTTTCAGTATACACTGAGATTTGTCTATTTGTCAATAGAACAAGTAACTCTGGTCTCTCTCTGGTCCCTGGTCTCACCTGGTCCCCCATGTGTCTCAGGTCCTCCAGAGACAGGTCCATGAGCGCCTCACACACCTGGAGCTGCTGAACAAACTGTACCAGCGTCTGTCTGTGGACCAGCGCACGGACGCGGCCCACAGCTTGAGGACCATGGTGGAGGAGATGAACCAGCGCTGGGACCAGCTGCAGACCAGGGTGCACGCGGTGATCCGGAGACTCAAGGTGAGCAGCGGCTTCACACAGAGCCCCACAGAGCTGAAGCTAAAGGAGGTGTGGTGTTGCAGCACTTCACGTCTCAGAGGGAGGAGCTGGAGGAGGCGCGGGAGGCCATCCTGGTCTGGCTCACACACATGGACCTCACTCTGACCGACGTGGAGCACTTCTCTGAGGGCGACTGGGGAGAGAAGAGGAGGCAGCTGCAGGTGTGTGTGTCTGTGTGTGTGTGTGTGTCTGTGTGTGTGTGTGTCTGTGTGTGTGTCTGTGTGTGTGTGTGTGTGTGAGTGTGTCTGTGTGTGTGTGTTTGTGTGTGTGTGTGTGTGTCTTTGTGTGTGTGTGTGTGTGTGTGTGTGTGTGTGTGTGTGTAGATGCGATCTAGAGCCAAGGACCGCTAGAAAAATCATGTTTTACATGAGATTTCAATGGGAGACGCGTGGCTGCGCGCACAAAATTAGAAATTCATCCTAAATTAGAGCGCAGCTTCGCGTCACATGTCCGTCATACGCGCGTATAACGCCAGAAGTGTAAATATCATCATAGGTTAACATGGAAAAAAGTTACGCACGTCTGCTGCGCGTATAATGCGTACGTGCTGTAACGCGTCATGTGTAAATTAGCAGTTAGACTGGTAGACGTGTTCCTTGCTGCTCCGCTGCTTGCTTTGCTTTGTAATCTCTTTTAATCGTTTTATTGACATTTTTATTCTACAAAACACGGATTACTCCTTTTGCAGACTTCAGCTTTGTGAAATTTGTCAATATTAGCCATGTACGGACGGAAGAAACGGAGAAATGTCTGCGATGGCTGCGGCACGCTGGAAAATCAGCTCAAATGTCTTCAAAAATGGATGGATATTTTGTAAACAGAAATGGGACTTAACCCGACTCTTCCAATGTGTGAAAATGGAATGAATGGACAGACTGGAAATGTAAGTTATGATGACGTAATTACTTTTCCCAAAATCAACAAAGAGAACTATTGGAATAAATGCGGCGCTAAACCCAAAGTTGACAAAGCTAAGAATGACAATGGGAGTGGAATTCTGCCACGAAATATTTTGAAGACTTCAAATTGTTATGCTGCTCTGTTTGAAGAAGCAAAGCCACAGTCTGTTTCTCCCCCTCCGTCAAGGCCACGGTGTTTGCTGCTTGGAGATCCTGCCATTCGGAATGTATCTTTGAACTTTGTACAGACTCATTCTGTGCACTCGGCCAAAGTGTCTGAGATAAGAACTCTGGTGCCAAAAGTACATTGTAAGTACATTGTTGATACACACAGAGGCAGTAGACATTCATGATAAATCCACTGAGAAGTTGAGAAGAGATTTTTCTCTGCTGCTGGATGACCTTAAAAAAACGGAGCTACACGTGTTAATCAGTGGACCCCTTCCAAATGCAGATGGAAAAATTGAGAAGTTTAGCCGTCTGTACCAGTAAAATACATTTCTACACAATGAGTGTTCACGCAGAGGACTTGGATTCATTGAAAACTTTAATGTGTTCTGGAATAGGCTTGAGCTTTTTGAAGGGAAAGGCCCACATCTGAACAAATACGAAGTAAAAGTGTTGATGGATAACTTTGCATCTGCCTCAAGACCTGAGCCTGCGCAGCGCGTTCAGCCGTTGAAAGAGAGGAAGCCACGGAACTCAACACGTCCACCAGCATCATCATCAGCAGAGGATCCAGCACCAGCAGCAGCAGTGGCTGCCACAGCGTCATCAGCGCCTTCAGCATCAGCACCACCAGCAGCAGCAGTGGCTGTTGCATCATCTTCAGCAGCACCTTCCCCACCTACAGCTCCCGTGAAGCCCCCCCATTGCTCCAGGCTACAGACAGGCCTGTACTGGGGGCCTCTCAACCACCTCCGTCTCCACCAAAGACTCCCTCATCACCTTCCATGGACCCGGTTTGGGTCCCCCCCGCCACATCCACTCCATCTAAGGAACATGAGGACGACCTTTCCCGGTGTTTTCCATCACTATTGGATTTACCGGAACACTCTGCAGGCATGATAAGATCGGCGATGAAGACTATTCCTCTCACACCCACTGTAGCCAGATCAAGAGTCCTATCTAACATTCATAACTACTCCCCATACGTACCTCCAAAGCCACCTAGGGCGTCCAACTCAAATTCTCCCACAAAATCCACCCGTCCCTCCCCTAACCCCAAAACCATTCCAACCCCACCCCCCCTTGTTTAGCCAACCTCCCCCCTAGCCCATCACCAAGAACCCCTCCAACTCCACTCGCCCCTCGTCCATCTCCCAACGCCTGCCCCTCCCCTAACACCCGTCCACCTCCAACCCCCCCTCGTCCAACACCCAAGAACCACCCACCTCTCCATCCTCCTTCCTCCTCTCCCTAGGATGCACAGGGTCTCTGCTTCGCAGCCACTGGCAGTCTAGTTAGAGACTGGGGCCCTGTCATGAAGCCACCTGTGCCATTCCCTTAGTGATAACACAAAGAATACATAACAGAAAGACATCTGGAGTTAATCAGTCTAATCTGGAAAATCTAATTCTTGTTCTGTATAAGAATCAGCCGACCACAACCGCTGATCCTGAAACTTTGAAACTTGCTATGCTAAATGTCAGATCTATTTCTAACAAGTCTTTTTTAATCAATAATTTTATTTGTTCTCATAATCTTGTGTTCATGGCTGAAACTTGGCTTGACCAAAATACAGAAAATGCAGTTTTAATAGAAGCATCACCACCAAATTTCCAATTTGAATCTGAAATACGGGGAAACAAAAAAGGAGGAGGCTTAGCTGCCATTTTCAGAGACAACTTTGTCTCCCATAGAATGTCTCTTGGGAAGTTTTCGTCTTTTGAATATGTGTCTTTTAAAATACAACAAAAACAATCTCCTCCAATACTCTTCGTTGTCCTATACAAGCCACCGCAGTCATGTCACAGTTTTATTGATAATTTTACCGAGTTGCTTTCAGTTGTATGCACAGACTTTGATAGTTTAGTTATTACAGGTTATTTTAATAATCATGTGGATAATGTTAATGACAGAAATGCTAAAAAGCTGAGTTCTGTACTTGAATCCTTTGATCTCACTCAGCACGTAAGTGGCCCCACCCACAGCAGAGGGCACACTCTAGACCTGTTAGTTACTAAGGGGGTGAATATTTCAAATGTAAACGTGGTCAATGTTGCTCTTTCGGATCATTTCTGTGTATTTTTTGACATGTGTTTCACTAACAAACCACCAGTGGACTCTGCAACTGTACGAAGAAGACACATAAATGAAAATACGGGTGAACTATTTATGGAAATGATAAACTTTGAGAATGCATCGTATTCTACTGTAGATGAACTGTTTAACTCTGTCACCTCTAGTGTTTTGAATGTTCTGGATACCGTTGCCCCTGTGAAGGTTAAAATAGTGAAAAATAAGCAGAAGGCGCCGTGGGCTAAAGCAGACTCGGTCAGAGCACTGAAGAGAAAGTGCCGGAGGGCCGAGCGGAAGTGGCGCAAGTCCAACGTCCAGGTTGATTACGAGATCTTCAAAGATAAGTTGTGCGAGTTTAACCGGGTGCTACGTAGTACGAGAGAAAGGTATTTTTCTGAAATGATTAAAGGCTGCAGTAACAATCTGCGTGTTCTGTTTTCAACAGTTAATAGATTAACAAACCCCCCTGTTCAGATGCCATTAGAGCTAACTTCCAAACGTAAATGCAATGAGTTTGCTAATTTTTTCAATGACAAGGTTCAAGGCATCAAAAACGCCATTGTCTCCAATCCACAGATAACCATCCAACAGCCAGAAAGGCTCTCTGAGCTAACTCACTTTGCACCTGTAGATGATAAAAATGTCCAAGAGATAATCTCCAGTCTGAGCTCCTCCACATGCAGCCTGGATGTACTACCCACTAGATTTCTGAAGTCTGTTCTGAGCAGTCTGTTACCTTCACTCACACAGATAGTAAACATGTCCCTTCATTCTGGAATATTCCCAAAGGCCCTGAAAACTGCAGTCATCAGGCCCCTGCTAAAAAAGAGCAGCCTGGATGCTACGGTACTTAACAACTATCGTCCCATCTCAAATCTGCCATTTATGGGGAAAGTCCTTGAGAAAGTTGTCTACCTACAGCTTACTAGATTTCTTTTAATCAACAACTCATTTGATATGTTTCAGTCCAGCTTTAGACCCCACCACAGCACTGAGACTGCTCTCGTCAAGGTTACAAATTATATAATAATAATAATAATACATCAAACTTGTATAGCGCTTTTTTGGACACTCAAAGACGCTTCACATGGGGAGTAGAATACAATAATAAAAAGGGGTTTACGTAAAAACTTGAAAAGATGGGTTTTGAGTACTGATTTAAAGTTTGATAGTGAGTCAGAGTTTCTAATGGGCAGTGGGAGTGAGTTCCAGAGGGTTGGGGCGGCAATGGCAAAAGCTCTGTCCCCCAAGGTTCGGTGGTTAGTGCGGGTGATGGGGGTGAGGAGGTTGGAATTGGCTGAGCGAAGGCGGCGGGTGGGTTGGTGCTGCTGTAGGAGCTAAGTAAGGTAGGGGGCGGGGCCAGGTTATGGAGGGACTTGAAGATGAGGAGGAGGAGCTTGTAATGGATGCGGTATTGAACGGGGAGCCAGTGGAGCTGCTGGAGGACAGGGGTGATGTGTTCTCTGGACCGGGTGTGGGGGAGGAGGCGGGCTGCAGAGTTCTGGATGTATTGCAGTTTTTGGAGATGAGTGGTGGGAAGTCCGTAGAGGAGGCTGTTGCAGTAGTCGAGTCTGGAGGTGATGAATGCGTGGATGAGGATTTCGGCTGGTAAGGGAGGGGCGGAGGCGGGCAATGTTGCGGAGGTGGAAGAAGGAGGTTTTGGTGATGTGTTTGATGTGGGTTTGGTATGAGAGGGTGGAGTCCAATATGATGCCAAGGTTGCGTACAGAGGATGAGGGGGTGACAATGTGACCGTCAATGAGGAGGGTGAAGTTCTGGACAGAGGGCAGGAGAGTTTTGGGGCTGATGATGAGGAGTTCTATTTTGTTACTGTTGAGTTTGAGAATTATTGTCCATCTAGGTTTTAATGTCGGAGATGCAATTTTCGATGGTGGAGCGAATGACCGGGGTGAGGGATTTGGTGGAGATGTAGAGTTGCGTGTCGTCGGCATAACAGTGGAAATGGAGTCCATGATGGCGGATGATCTGACCGAGGGGAAGCATGTAGATGGTGAAGAGGAGAGGGCCGAGCACGGAACCTTGGGGGACACCATGGGTGACGGGGGAAGTGTGGGACTTGCAATTGTTGACACGAAGTGGAGACGATTGGAGAGGTAAGAGGTGAACCAGAGGAGTGCTGTGCCAGAAATGCCAATGGATTGTAGACGGTGGAGGAGGATGGAATGGTCTATTGTGTCAAATGCAGCGGAGAGATCGAGGAGAAGGAGGATGGATAAGGAACCAGAGTCGGCAGCGAGGAGGAGGTCGTTAGTAACTTTGAGAAGTGCCGTTTCTGTGCTGTGGTGTGAAGGAATCTAGATTGAAATGTTTCGAAGAGATGGGAGGAGTGGAGATGTTGGTGGAGTTGGTTGATGACGGCGCGTTCCAGGATTTTTGACAGTAACGGGAGGTTGGAGATGGGTCGAAAGTTGTCCAAGGGTTGAGGCCGGGTTTTTTCAGGAGGGGTGTGATGGAGGCTAGTTTGAGCGGGGAAGGGACAGAACCAGAGGTTAGGGAAGTGTTGATGATGCAGGTGATGAGAGGGATGAGAGTTAGTTGACAGGTTTTGAGGAAGGACAATGGGATTGGGTCAAGCTGGCAGTTGGAAAATTTCATGGTTGAGAGAAGTTTGGTGGTGTCAGAGGGAGAGAGGGGGGAGAAGGAGGGAAGGCTATGGACTGTGAGTGCAGTGGGTTCAAGTTCGGAGAAGGGAGAAGAGGAGGAAGTGGATGCAAGTGAACAGTGTATGGTATGGATTTTGGTATGGTAGAATGACAGGTAGTTATTGCATTTGTCTGTAGTGAAAGTGGAGGTTATATTGTCCTTGGGTTTTGTCAGATTTGCAAAAGTTGAGAATAGGGTGCGGGGGTTGGAAGAATTTGAGTGGATGAGTTGTGAATAGTAGTTGGACCAGGCAGTTTTGAGAGCAGAGTTGTATGTGTTTGTGGCTTGTTTGTAGGCTTGTGCATCAACGAGGAGACCAGTTTTTATATGGAGCCTTTCAAGTTGTCTCTTTTGTTTTTTGAGACTGTGGAGATCTGGGGTATACCAAGGGGCGGAAGTAGAGAAGGAGACTGAGGCAGTTTTCATGGGGGCAATTTGGTTGAGGCAGGAGGAGAGTGTGTGGTTATAGAAAGTGACTAGGTCGGAGGCAGATGGATCTGAAGGGAGGGAAGAGCTGGATAGGGCATGGGATATGGAGGAGGAGAGAGATATGGGACAAATGGACTTCAGATTTCGGAAAGTAATTGTTCGTGTCTGTTTGGTGGTGGGAGAGGAGGTAATTATGTCCAGGGTGATGGCCAGATGATCAGAAATGGTCAGGTCGGTGAGTGACAGGTTGTATATGGTGAGGGAGGGGGTGGAACAGACCAGATCCAGGATGTGTCCATGGTTGTGTGTGGGTGAAGTGACGTGCTGGGTGAGGTTGAGACAGTTTAAAATGTCCAAAAAGTCAGATGTAAATTTAACTGTAGGGGAGTCAATATGAATGTTGAAGTCACCAAGGAGGAGAACGGATGGAGAAATGGAGGACAGCTGAGATACAAAATCAGTAAAATCTGAGAGAAATTATGAGCAGGTTTTGGGAGGGCGGTAGATGACTGCAGCAATGAGTGATTGGGAACCAGGAAGTCTGAAGGCCAGGTGTTCGAATGAAGATACAGCCCGGGATGGAGATGGGGCGGAGGGAGATGTTGCTGCGGTGGATGACTGCAATGCCACCTCCTCGCCGGTCTGGGCGCGGGTTATCGATGTAGGAATATCCAGGTGGGGTGGTCTGATTTAATGTGGTGTATTCCATGGGTTTGTGCCAGGTTTCAGTGAGACAAAGTATGTCCAGTTCATTGTCAATGATGAATTCACAGAGGAGCAGGCTTTTATTGCTGAGTGACCGTGTATTGAATAGTGCTGTTTTTAGAGGCTTTTGTTGTGAAGTCTGTGTGGCAGAAATTGGGACAGACCGAAGGTTTGATGTAGTCACGTGATGAGTGCTCGGATGACGTATGCGGATGTTGTTGGAACCAAGCCGGTGTGAGCTGCGCATGGATCTGCAGGCGGACCAGACAGAGGGAATATTGCTTTTGCCTGTGAAATTGAAGACAAGATTGCGACGGGACCCTCGGTGGATGTTGGGGCGACGGCGGACAAGACAGTGTTGTTGCACAGTTGAGGTGATGTCCAGTGAAGGAGGTGCGCGGCGGTTGAGTCTGATGAGCTGTGAGGACGTGTAACGAAGCGCCATGGACGGAGCCGGTGTTGACAGGAGCCTCAGAGAGGCCAGCAGGAAAGCCACGGTAGCCGCATAGCTGGCTGGCTGCTCCGGGGTGCAGGCCGGCCAGTAACCGGGTTGTAATCCACTGATTGAGAAGAGCACAGCGTGGCTTGGCCGGAGGCAGCCCCTGGGAGCAAGCGTGATGGTGGGCACAGCAGGGTCACATCGTGACAGGCTGTGACAGGCGGCAGAAGCGGGCAACCAGTCAAGGAAACAGTCCAGGTGCCGAGGCAACATCAGACACCACCGACACCAAGCAAAAATCGGTACGTTAAACCGCTTACTTTTAGCAAAAACAAACTTTTACATCCGGAGTAAGAAGCGGCAGCAAAAACGCGCCCGCGTCCTCTCGCATCCGGGTTTGATATCCGGCCGAACACTGACGCAGGCAAAGTCTCAATCTTAATCTTGTTAGATCTGAGTGCTGCCTTTGACACCGTCGACCATGAGATCCTCTTACAGAGACAAGAGAACTGGGTTGGTGTCGCTGGCACCACCCTAAGTTGGTTTAGGTCTTACCTTGAAGACAGGAAGTACTTTATGGAGATTGGAAACTGTGTCTCAGATCATATGGCCCTGACCTGTGGAGTACCACAGGGGTCGATCCTGGGACCTCTTCTGTTCAATCTCTACATGCTGCCGTTAGGTCAGCTCATTGTGTCCCATTGACGCATTAATACGTCAAATGCCTTTTTCGCTATTTTCACGTTCCCAGATGTCTATTGTATCTAATCTAGTTGGTAGAGCGTTGGCCTTTGAGCCAGAAGGTCGTGGGTTCAAGCCCCGCTCAGGACTTTCACCATCGACTCCCACTGACTACTGTCGTTGTGTCCTTGGCAAGACACTTAACCTCTGGGAACACCAGCCACAGTGGGGCGGCTGCGGCTGTAAAGTGCCAAACTGCCGTTGTGTCCTTAGGCAAAACACTTCACCCCCATTGCCTAGAATGAGTCTGGTGTGTGTGTGTGAATGGTTGGTGGTGGTCAGAGGGGCCGATGGCACATACTGGTTGCCTCGCTTCTGTCAGTGTGCCCCAGGGCAGCTGTGGCTACAGTAGTAGTTTATCACCACCGTGTATGGAGTGAATGAATAATGACACATGTGAAGCGTCTTTGAGTGTCCAAAAAAGCGCTATATAAAACCGATGCATTATTATTATTATTACTTGACGTCTGCAGTGAAGGCTGACGTCTGCAGTGATACTTGACGTCTGCAGTGAAGGCTGACATCTGCAGTGTTACTTGACGTCTGCAGTGAAGGCTGACATCTGCAGTGATACCTGACGTCTGCAGTGATACTTGACGTCTGCAGTGAAGGCTGACGTCTGCAGTGATACTTGACGTCTGCAGTGATACCTGACATCTGCAGTGATACTTGACGTCAGCAGTGAAGGCTGACGTCTGCAGTGATACCTGACGTCTGCGGTGAAGACTGACGGTGAAGGCTGACGTCTGCAGTGATACCTGACGTCTGCGGTGAAGACTGACGGTGAAGGCTGACGTCTGCGGTGAAGGCTGACATCTGCAGTGAAGGCTGACGTCTGCGGCGACGTCTGCGGTGAAGACTGACATCTGAGGTGAAGGCTGACGTCTGCGGTGAAGGCTGACGTCTGCAGTGAAGGCTGACGTCTGCGGTGAAGACTGACGTCTGCGGTGAAGGCTGACGTCTTCGGTGAAGGCCGACATCTGCGGTGAAGGCTGACGTCTGCAGTGAAGGCTGATGTCTGCAGTGAAGGCTGACGTCTTCGGTGAAGGCTGACGTCTTCGGTGAAGGCTGACGTCTGCGGTGAAGGCTGACATCTGCAGTGATACTTAACGTCTTCAGTGAAGGCTGACGTCTGCAGTGAAGGCTGACATTTGCAGTGATACCTGACGTCTGCTGTGATACCTGACGTCTGCGGTGAAGACTGACGGTGAAGGCCAACGTCTGCAGTGATACTTGACGTCTGCAGTGATACTTGACGTCTGCAGTGATACTTGACGTCTGCAGTGTTACTTGACGTCTGCAGTGAAGGCTGACGTCTGCAGTGATACCTGACGTCTGCAGTAATATCACGTCTGCAGTGATACCTGACGTCTGCAGTGATACCTGACGTCTGCAGTGATACCTGACGTCTGCAGTGATACCTGACGTCTGCAGTGATACCTGACGTCTGCAGTGATACTTGACGTCTACAGTGATACCTGACGTCAGTTGCCCTGCCGCCCAGTAAGCGTGAACGGCCCAGTCTCGTTCACGCCCCCTAGCAAAGGAAAGAAGGAATAGCAGAGAGCATTTTCATCGATTGTCAGGTTTGCGATTAGTTATAGAATTTAGGTAGGTTTTTATCAGCATAGCTGTTTGTATTATTGATAATTGTGTAGTGTTAATTGCGTTGTTGTTGAATATTGGAGTTCTAGTCATTATTGCTTTTATTGTCAAGTGTCAATCACAGCCTAGATCCTCCCAACATTCACCCCCCTTCAGTCCTCCAGGCTACGCCCATTTGGAGGAAGATTTGAACAAGAAATGTGAGTGAGGTAAGCCTCGAGGAGCAGGGGTGAGAAGTTCTTTAAAGTCTCTCCAGAGTTTGGGTGTGTCCTCCTGCTCCCAGGTGCCTCCATCTTGTGGACACCCGCGGAATTGCTACATGGTCTGCAATTTACTGGAGTTTGTGTTGCAGGTGTTCCAGCAGCAGATCATGCTCTGATAGTGTGTGTGTGTAGGTGTGTGTAACAGTGTGTTGTGTTGCTGTGTTGCAGGTGTTCCAGCAGCAGATCGTGACCCACACAGAGCAGATCGATGCCCTGATTGTGTTTGGAGAAGTCCTGATCCAGAAGAGCTGTCCTCAGGATGCGGCTCTAATGGAGGAGGAGCTCCAGGAGCTGCATTCGTACTGTCAGGAGGTGTTCAGGAGAGTGGCCCGCTTCCACCTCAGGCTGTCCACCCAACAACCCCCTACCCTGACCCAGCCCCCCACCAGGACCCAGCCACCGCTGTTCCACACCCGGGTGAGTCCCGGGTCCTAACCCTGTTCTTTACTACTGTAGAGAGTCCACCTGAGGCAGAGACAGAGGCAGAGACAGAGACAGAGACAGAGGCAGAGGCAGAGGCAGAGGCTGAGGCAGAGGCAGAGGCAGACCTGAACACTTTCTCTTGATCTTCCTCCTTTTGTCTTTGAATCCATCCATCCATCTATTTTCTTCCCCTTAATCCATTTCTGGGTCGGGGGGGTGGCAGTCAGAGCTGCACCCAGTACACAGAGCACCAGCCCCTCACTGATCCTCCTGCAGGTGGTGAGTCCACAGGAGCTGAGATCTTTCAGTGGGAGCTTTGGGCAAAGTAGGGTTAAGTGTCTTGCCCAAGGACACAACGACAGCAGTCATCAGTGGGAGTCGTGAAGTAGGTCTTACGGTGGGCTCGAACCCACAACCTTCAGGCCCAAAGGCCAATGCTCTACCAACTGAGCTACTGTCGCCCAGATGTCTTTGAATCATGTCAATATAATCCAGTGGCTTTATCTCCTCTCGTGAGCAGCAGCTCTACTCCAAGCTACTCCAACAGTTCCGTTAACCTTGTGTCTCTTCCTGCACACGCTGGAGCAGCTCTCGGACTCAGACCTGGACTCGGCTTCAGACCTGGGCCACAGTCTGTCTTGGAGCGAGACTAAGAGAAGGAGGAGAAGGAGGAGCAGAAGGAGGAGCAGGAAGGTGGAAGGGCCTGCACTCTTAGCCCCGCCCCCTGAGCGTGGGGGGCGTGACACTCCAGTAAGTGTGGAGTCCATCCCTCTGGAGTGGGACCACACTGTGGATGTGGGCGGATCCTCTTCACAGGAGGAGGAGGAGCAGGAGGAGGAGCAGGAGCAGGAGGAGAGCATCTTTAGCACTTTCTCAGGTACGACATCAGCCCTCAGGCATGATTTCACAAAACTGGTCTCTTTCTGGTCTCTCTCTGGTCTCTCTCTGGTCTCTCGCTGATCTCTCTCTGGTCTCTCTCTGGTCTCTCTCTGGTCTCTCTCTGGTCTCTCTCTGGTCTCTCTCTGGTCTCTCGGTAGTCTCTCGCTGATCTCTCCCTCTCTCCCCAGTGTTTTACTTTCACTTTCTCTTCTCAGTTAAGTCCCTAAAGGAGCCACAGAAGCAGCAGAGTCTGGAGCCTCCTGACAGCGCCCCCTGTGGTGAGAGATATGTAAGTGTGAGAGGGCTCCCCCGACCAGGTCCTGGTCTGGTCCAGATCTAACCCCTCTGATCCTGGTCTACATGAGAACTTATCTGAGGCATGGTTTAACCCCTCTCTCTGGTCTCTCTCTGGTCTCTGTCTGGTCTCTCCCTGTTCTCTCTCTGGTCTCTCCCTGGTCTCTCTCTGGTCTCTCTCTGGTCTCTCTCTGGTCTCTCTCTCTGGTCTCTCTCTCTGGTCTCTCTCTGGTCTCACTCTTGTCTCTCTCTGATCTCTCTCTGATCTCTCTCTCTGGTCTCACTCTGGTCTCTCTCTCTGGTCTCTCTCTCTGGTCTCTCTCTGGTCTATCTCTGGTCTCTCTCTGGTCTCTCTCTCTGATCTCTCTCTCTGGTGTCTCTCTGGTCTCTCTCTGGTCTCTCTCTCTGGTCTCTCTCTCTGGTCTCTCTCTGGTCTCTCTCTGGTCTCTCTCTGGTCTCACTCTGGTCTCACTCTGGTCTCTCTTGGTTTCAGCTCTCCTCTGAAAGCAGCAGCAGCAAAATCAATCCGATTCGACTAATTCTGAACGACAACGACGAGCCGCAAGTCGACAGGAGCACAGGTACACACACACACACACACACACACATACACACACACACACACACACACACACACACACACATAGACACACACACACACAGACAGAGACACACACACACATGCACACACACACACACACATAAACATACACACACACACACACATGCACACACACACCGACACACACACACAGACACACACGTACACACACACATACATACTGGTTTCCATTCTTGATGGAGACCAGGTTTCAAATCATCACTTGTGGGGACCATCCTTTCTAGAGGTTCTGTGTCATAAAACAATGTAGTTACTTAATATAACATTGTAAGCATATACACATCTTAAAATGTCTCAATTGATGATAATGAATAATATTCTGACAGTGTATTATGGGGACCGATAAAACAACTAGTCAATGTCACTTAGAAGGACCAGATTTGCATAGTTTTTGCATAAATCACACACTTTTGTATTTTACTCATGAGGACCTTTGTAAATCTAATAACTACATTATTAAAGGTCCTATATCACGCTTTTCTTCATGTTTCACACTCAATCCTATACACATGTGTGATATTAATGTGTATGATACACCACACAACAATCAAAGCTTGTGAGATTAGAGCCATCTCTTGTATAGAGGTGACGTCACCTCGACTCAAACGAGCTGATCCAGAGAAGAGTCTGCTCCTCTGCCTGTGAGCCCGCCTCCCCCCGCCCGCACGGTGACGTAGCATCACGCTTTTGTCGTTTATCACCTGTACTTAGTAATTTCATACATAAGAATAAACTTTTTCCAACAATGACAATCCGTCACATCGAGCCCTATGTCCTCGATGCACAATCAGACCCTAGTTATTTAATTTATAGAAGTATACAGCGAGTTAGCGTCACTACTTACAGATCGAGGGGGTCCGAGTTACGTCTTTTACCGTGGGAATAACGTGTTTCCAGATCAGCTTTTGAGTAAATCCAGTTCCATTGTCCCTGTAGTTCTGGAACAGTCTCAGTGAAGTATCGCAGATGAACCGGTATTATAATAGATCCATGAGATGAACAGATGAAAAAAGTCGAGCCGCTTTCTTCCTCTTAGGGCCAAATAGTGTGTCACATATTTACACCCATAACACACTTCATTCAAGTTGACGTGATCCTAACACTTTTAGTTGCTGACAAAAGCATAAAAACAACAGCTCTATGTGGTGTCCGCGAGACCAGACCACAGACGCTGGACTCGGGAGCCGGAGCCTGTGCGCTCTGATTCGCTGTTTTGATCCGTCAATCACCTCCTGCCGGCTTTTAATTTATTTTTATTTTATTATTTTTGACAAAAAACAGCATGCTAATTGTGAATTGTTTACCCCGTTTTGACAAAAGTATTTAACAACTATTTTAAATACAAAGCAAATGGGGTCATGCGCGTCATCTGTGTGGTTTTCGTCACTGAAGTGGACCCGAGCGTTTCTGTGCCTCACGCTGGGGAAGGAGACAGATTGCTCTCTTACAAAAGATTGACAGAATCAATGAATAAACTACTGTGGGCTTGTGTATGAAGGCCAAATAGCATTGTAATCATGTTTAAAGCAGAGAAAAGTCAAAAACCGTGATATAGGCCCTTTAAGGCCAAAGAATGCACAGACTGTCTTTGTAAATGTGCCTTTATTAACCAATTTTATATTTTTTCTGAACAGCCCTTTTACTTGATGAAAGCACATTTTGCTTCAAATGCAGAGCAAAAAAAAGCAATAATGTCTTTTGTAATACATTCTTTGTACACCATTTTTGTTGTATGCCTTTATTTCGGTATTCCATAAGAAAATACAATCCACATCCATGCAGTGCATTAGGATAGACGTCCTTTTGAGGAAAAAGTAGCGCGGATTTGTGCTGGCGTTTGTGCTGGCGTGACATTATATTTTAGTAAGTAAGTAATCTTTATTTATATACCGCCTTTCACAGACCAGAGTCACAAAACGGTTTACAATTGTTATTTTTTAGGCAATTGTCCTCTCACTCCTCACAGAGATGGGAGCGGGGCCAGTACAGAAGGCGCATGCCAGACCTATTGATTTTAGATCGAGTTTTCATGAAACAAGGAAGAGAATGTGTTTCGGGTCGCAGATTGTGACCAATCACAGCGGACCACTGCATCCAGCTTTCTTGAGAAAATCCACAGGTCTCTGGTTAGCACGGACAGCTGAGTTAGCACAACAAGCGGCTAACCTGGAACTTCCTGTGTCTTCGTTACTGCTTACACAGCGAAACATACATTCAAAAGAAAATATGGTCCTCTCTGCGCTTCCCGGTTCTGTCACGCTATGGTCACGCCATCCACGTGCGAAAGTGCCATATTAATCCATATTGTGAGATGCTAGCTCCGAAACTAACAGCAGCAAAGAGCACAGGCTGCGGGGGAGGGGGGGCGAAAGCTCCGTGGGTGCGGGGAGGGCGAGCAGAGAGAGCGAGGCCATCGCTCGCATTTGAAAATGTCTAAAAAATCAGTTAGTGCAGCTTTAACAACAATATCTGTAGTGGCCTGACTTGAACTGAGTTCAACTGCAGAGGATGTTTCCGCTGAAAGACTTAGGCCCCGTCCCAATTCTCACCCTTGCCCTTAAAAAGCACACTTGCCCTAGAGTTTGCGCGTGCCCGCGGGAGTGTAAGGGTGTCCCAATACTTAGGGGAGAAGAGGCGAGGGCCTTCACACCCCTAAAAACCACCCTTGAGCACAAGTGAGGTCCGGAGCTCACTTGCGAGCGAGGGTGATCCCATGATGCATTAGGATGGCTGTTGGTAAAGCAGCAGTCGGGCAAAGCCGCGCCACAATGAAGAAAACAACATGAAACACCCGCGCACAAGTTTGTACGGAACATGAGCAAGCTCCGAGGCATGTGCGAGTTAGTTTTTAAAGCGTGTTTTGGTGCTGTGTGCGGTGACGTGTATGTGCCTGTGTATGTGCCTGTCTCTGTGTGTTTGTACATGTGTCCGTCTGTGTGCGTGTGTCTGCCTCTGTGTGTGTACATGTGTGTCTGTGTGTCTGCCTCTGTGTGTGTACATATGCGTGTCTGTGTGCGTGTGTCTGACTCTGTGTGTGTACATGTATGCGTGTGTGCGTCTGTCTCTGAGTGCGTGATGTGCTTCAGTTCTGTACCTAATTATAGCAAATCTTCATATGAAATATAATTAAAAACTTCTCATTTTAGTAAACACTGTGTTTCATAAAGTCATATCTGTGTCAGATCTCATCAGTGGTGAAATCACACACTTTGATAATATGTGTGACGTGGAACACGTCTGCTGCGTCATTTGCATATTGTCCCCTTGATCCAGGGGTGTCCCGATTCTTAGGGAGAATGTTGTGAGTGCACTCCCCACTGGGAAGGCACTTTGCTGGTGAGGGCACTCACACCTAAGGGCAAGGGTGAGAATTGGGACGGGCCCTTAGCATCTTGTCTGAAGTTGTGAAGTCACATTCAAGATTGTTTGCAGGGTTAGGATCATCAAGAAGGAGTTCATAATAAAATTGGCTTGTAAGTTTGTTTCGTGACAAAGTAGGATAACTATCACTGAATCAGACGTGGTATTTGGGACATAGTTGTCCGAACTATCCATTGTAGAATCATAAAACTCACAGCCCACTCCCTTCCTTTTTTATGGAGTCACTCTGTGTGTTATGGGGACATTTTGAGGGCCATTTCACACACTTCCATTCCTTCTTCACGGGGACCATTTCAATGAACTCACACACTTGATTAAACTCAACAGAAGTCATTCAAAGTGTATTATGGGGACATCGGGAGGGTTCATTTGAAAGAAACATTTCAGTATTAAGTCTTTGTCTGCCATGGCTAAAAATATTCGCCTTCCACTAATCCACTTACTGAATATAGTTTAACGGAGTGGCAGGGTGGAGGAGGAGCGGGGTGTGGGGGCAGGAGTGGCAGGGTGGAGGAGGAGCGGCGTGTGGGGGCAGGAGTGGCAGGGTGGAGGAGGAGCGGAGTGGCAGGGTGGAGGAGGAGCGGCGTGTGGGGGCAGGAGTGGCAGGGTGGAGGAGGCGCAGGGTGTGGGGGCAGGAGTGGCAGGGTGGAGGAGGAGCGGGGTGTGGGGGCAGGAGTGGCAGGGTGGAGGAGGTGAGATAAGTACGGCGAGCGTGAAGGAGACGGGTCGGGTTTTCAGAGGAGCGTGATTGTTCAGGAGGTTTCGGATGTCAGAGCTATTGGGGTCACACACAGGTACACACACACACACACACACACACACACACACACACACACACACACACACACACACACACACACACTGGTACACACACAGGTACACACACACAGGTAAACGCACACGTACACACACACACAGACACACACTGGTACACACACACTCACAGGTACACATACACACATGTACACACACACAGACACACACACACACACACTGGTACACACACAGATAAACGCACACGTACACACACACAGACACACACTGGTACACACACACTCACAGGTACACACACACACACACGTACACAGACACACACACACACAGGTACACACACACACACATAGGTACACACCAAATGTCTTGCTCCAGCTGACCTCTGACCTCTGTGATGTCACTTCCTGGTTAGGTCGCTCTGACGTCCCGCAGCAGCTAACCTCTGACCTCTGTGATGTCACTTCCTGGTTGGGTCGTGTTCAGTTGGAGCTGGGTCACCTGCAGAGTGTGGGCGTGGCCAGTGTCCAGGAGCTGGAGCTGCAGGTGCAACGACTGCAGGTGAGAGACCCCTGTGGCCAGAAAGAGTACTGCATCCTGTGAGAGAGCCCCCTCTGTGGCCAGAGAGAGTACTGCATTCTGTGAGAGAGCCCCCTCTGTGGCCAGAGAGAGTACTGCATCCTGTGAGACAGCCCCCTCTGTGGCCAGAGAGAGTACTGCATTCTGTGAGAGAGCCCCCTCTGTGGCCAGAGAGAGTACTGCATCCTGTAAGACAGCCCCCTCTGTGGCCAGAGAGAGTACTGCATCCTGTGAGACAGCCCCCTCTGTGGCCAGAGAGAGTACTGCATTCTGTGAGAGAGCCCCCTCTGTGGCCAGAGAGAGTACTGCATCCTGTGAGAGAGCCCCTCTGTGGCCAGAGAGAGTACTGCATCCTGTGAGAGAGCACCCTCTGTGGCCAGAGAGAGTACTGCATCCTGTGAGAGAGACCCCTGTTGCCAGAGCGAGTACTGCATCCTGTGAGAGAGTACCCTCTGTGGCCACAGAGAGTACTGCATCCTGTGAGAGAGACTCCTGTGGCCAGAGAGAGTACTGCATCCTGTGATAGAGTACCCTCTGTGGCCACAGAGAGTACTGCATCCTGTGAGAGAGGCCCCTGTGGCCAGAGAGAGTACTGCATCCTGTGAGAGAGCCCCCTCTCCGGCCAGAGAGAGTACTGTATCCTGTGAGAGAGCCCCCTCTGTGGCCAGAGAGAGTACTGCATCCTGTGTGAGAGCCCTGTGGCCAGAGAGAGAGAGTACTGCATCCTGTGAGAGAGCACCCTCTGTGGCCAGAGAGAGTACTGCATCTTGTGAGAGAGACCCCTGTGGCCAGAGAGAGTACTGCATCCTGTGAGAGAGTACCCTCTGTGGCCAGAGAGAGTACTGCATCCTGTGAGAGAGCCCCCTCTGTGGCCAGAGAGAGTACTGCATCCTGTGAGAGAGCACCCTCTGTGGCCAGAGAGAGTACTGCATCCTGTGAGAGAGACCCCTGTGGCCAGAGCGAGTACTGCATCCTGTGAGAGAGTACCCTCTGTGGCCACAGAGAGTACTGCATCCTGTGAGAGAGGCCCCTGTGGCCAGAGAGAGTACTGTATCCTGTGAGAGAGCACCCCCTGTGGCCAGAGAGAGTACTGCATCCTGTGAGAGAGCACCCTCTGTGGCCAGAGAGAGTACTGCATACTGTGAGAGAGTACCCTCTGTGGCCAGAGAGATTACTGCATCCTGTGAGAGAGTACCCCCTGTGGCCAGAGAGAGTACTGCATCCTGTGAGAGAGCCCCCTCTGTGGCCAGAGAGAGTACTGCATCCTGTGAGAGAGCCCCCTCTCCGGCCAGAGAGAGTACTGCATCCTGTGAGAGAGCCCCCTCTGTGGCCAGAGAGAGTACTGCATCCTGTGAGAGAGCCCTGTGGCCAGAGAGAGAGTACTAGCCATCCTGTGAGAGAGCACCCTCTGTGGCCAGAGAGAGTACTGCATCTTGTGAGAGAGACCCCTGTGGCCAGAGAGAGTACTGCAGAGAGTACTGCATCCTGTGAGAGAGTACCCTCTGTGGCCAGAGAGAGTACTGCATCCTGTAAGAGGGTACCCCCTGTGGCCAGAGAGAGTACTGCATCCTGTGAGAGAACACCCCCTGTGGCCAGAGAGAGTACTGCATCCTGTGAGAGAGCACCCCCTGTGGCCAGAGAGAGTACTGCATCCTGTGAGAGAGCACCCCCTGTGGCCAAATAGAGTACTGCATCCTGTGAGAGAGCACCCCCTGTGGCCAGAGAGAGTACTGCATTGGTCAGTGTTGTCATATCCCACCGTGTTTAGTCCCTCCGTAAAGCTCTGAGCTCTGCCCCTTTAGGCCTGCGACACACACACAGACACACACACACACACACACACACACACACACACACATAGACACACACACACACACACATAGACACACACACACACACACAGACATACACACACACAGACACACACAGACACACACATACACGTTTTTGTTACCTGGTGGGTCCCTTTGACAGGGCCGTTCAGAATGGGACCCATAGACATAATCTTTTTTTAACCAAGACTTTAAGTAATACAAAACAGTCAATAGAAACCAAACAACTATTTTAAAGGAATTTTATTTTAGATTTTGTTTTCGAAATTGCAGTGATTCTATTTTTGACATAGAATTTTAATGCCACTCCACTTGTCCGATGTCTAAGGTCATCTGGTGAGGCATTAATGCAGGCCAGGCAGTGAGACTTCCCAGGGACCTTTCCAGTCTGTATGAAAGGTGTCATGGTCTTCTCCACAGCCTTCACCTCAGATGCAGACCATGGCTTTCTTACACGTTCTAGGGAGAGAAATAAAAATATATTAGCAATATACACTCCCAGGGTGAGGACCAAGCAGCCTGGCTGTAATCCCCCACCTGGTGCACACTTACCAGAAGGGGCACTGCCACTACCATGGGGTGCATCTGGATGAATGGTTGAAGGTTCAATACCCGCTTGAAGTTTCTTTTAGCCCGTCCGTTTGTGAGAGGATCTCTACTGCTCTCCCTGTCGCACAGAAAATAAAAATACAAGTGGCCTTTAGGGGAAAAAAATCATACATATTTTAATAATATCAAGAATTACCTTCAGGCTCAATTGTATCTGGTCGAGGCTCTTTCCTTCGAATTCCGTCACTCTTCCCTGCTCCATGGCCATCAACACTTTGCTGATTTTGGGCCAGCTCCAGCGCCCCCCTCTGGTAGTCTGTAATATTGCCTGTGGATGCGAATGTCATGGCCGAGGAAGTTGGCAAGTATGTCCATCTCATTCTCTTTCATATTGAGAACTGTAGACATAGTAGCTATGTGCTTTCTAAGTTTGGTTGAGGATAGCATCTCTGGATGCACCGCACCACATTCTTTGGCTACCTGGCGTAGGGAGTCTGATCCCCTGATGTGGGTGTCTGCGCCCGGGCGGGAAAAGAAGTATGGGTTATGGTCAGAGATGGAACAGGCCCTTCTGTTCTCCACCAGCACCTCCATCCAAGCAATCATTTCAGGAGTCAAAAGAACCGGCACTTTCCGACTTCTTTTCCCTTTAATTTCAATGCGTTGAAAATGCTGACACAGCTTTTTCTCAAGTTGGGACAGTCCCAGAGCAATGTCAGAATGGATCCCAGTCTTACTTCTTAAGGTAAAGGCTGTCAGTGGCATCTTTGAAACCTCACCTTCCCTTCTTCGATTGAAAATGATGACCTCACAAAGAGTCAAAACTGCCAGTTTAGACCAATGCTTAGACATAGGTTGGCTCATTTATTAGGGTTTGCAACATATTCAGGTCGACATACCTCAATATGTGCATGCATGGCTCTAACGTCCTCAGTCAGAGGGAGCAGGTCCGGAGTGTTCCACTTGGCTTGCCGGAGGGTCTGTAGGGCAGCAGAAGAAACACAGACGTCCCACCTCTTCTCAAAAAACTGCAGCCGGCTTCGTTGGAGGTTTTCTCACTGGATCGGGTGCCCCCCCCCCCCCACCCCCCCAACCCCCCCCCCCTATACACTCCCCCCCCCCCCCCCCCCCCCCCCCCCCCCCCCCCACCCCCCCCTCCTCCCCCCCCCGACACATCATCATATGTTATATACCCCCACCACATCGTGTCTCCCCACTATTTCTCCCCCAACCCCCCCCGCCCCCCCACCCCCCAGCCCTCCCACACCGCAGATAGAGATAGATAGAGAACACCACAAAAAAAATTTTAATCTCCCCCCTCCCCCCGCACAGCACCCCCTAATCCCCCTCCGCTACCCCCGCCCACCCCCCACGGCCCCTCCCCCCCCCACCCCCACCTCCGCCGACCCCCCCATCCGACGTTTGCCAGGCCAATGGGATGGAGTCTGGGTGTTTA